CTACAATTTCCTACTGAATTTCAGATTTAAGGACTTCTGTAACCTTCTGAAGCGGGTTTATTGTATATTTTAAGTCCTCTAACTGACTTACGTGTGAGTTTGTGGTATTAGTAGTGAAGTTGTGGGGATTTGTAGCTTACTGCAAGTTGATCAATCTATCTGTAGAGTAAATACTGAGTTTTTCCTGCCTTATAGTAGTTAAAATTCCTAGAAACACGGCCAGGGACGCGCCCAGGGACACGTCCAGGGACACGCCCAGGGATACGCCCAGGGACACGCCCAGGGACACGCCCAGGGACACGCCCAGGGACACGCCCAGGGACACGCCCAGGGACACGCAAAGGGACACGCCCAGGGACACGCCCAGGGACACGCCCAGGGACACGCCCAGGGACACGCCCAGGGACACGCAAAGGGACACGCCCAGGGACACGCCCAGGGACACGCCCAGGGACACGCCCAGGGACACGCAAAGGGACACGCCCAGGGACACGCCCAGGGACACGCCCAGGGACACGCCCAGGGACACGCAAAGGGACACGCCCTGGGACACGCCCAGGGACACGCCCAGGGACACGCCCAGGGACACGCCCAGGGACACGCCCAGGGACACGCAAAGGGACACGCCCAGGGACACGCCCAGGGACACGCCCAGGGACACGCCCAGGGACGGGGGGTTAACCCCAAGCAAGCACAAGTTGGTAAGTACAGCCAACACACGTACGACCACAGCCAAGAACACAGGTACGACCACAGGCAAGAACACAGGTACGATCACAGGCAAGAACACAGGTACGACCACAGGCAAGAACACAGGTACGATCACAGGCAAGAGCACAGATACGACCACAGCCAAGAACACAGGTACGACCACAGCCAAGAACACAGGTACGACCACAGCCAAGAGCACAGGTACGACCACAGCCAAGAGCACAGGTACGACCACAGCCAAGAACACAGGTACGACCACAGCCAAGAACACAGGTACGACCACAGCCAAGAGCACAGGTACGACCACAGCCAAGAGCACAGGTACGACCACAGCCAAGAGCACAGGTACGACCACAGTCAAGAGCACAGGTACGACCACAGGCAAGAACACAGGTACGATCACAGGCAAGAACACAGGTATGACCACAGCCAAGAACACAGGTACGACCACAGCCAAGAACACAGGTACGACCACAGCCAAGAACACAGGTACGACCACAGCCAAGAACACGGGTACGACCACAGCCAAGAACACAGGTACGACCACAGCCAAGAACACAGGTACGACCACAGCCAAGAACACAGGTACGACCACAGCCAAGAACACAGGTACGACCACAGCCAAGAACACAGGTACGACCACAGCCAAGAACACAGGTACGACCACAGCCAAGAACACAGGTACGACCACAGCCAAGAACACAAGTACGACCACAGTCAAGCACACAGGTACGACCACAGCCAAGCACAGGTACGACCACAGCCAAGAACACAGGTACGACCACAGCCAAGAACACAGGTACGACCACAACCAAGAACACAGGTACGACCACAACCAAGAACACAGGTACGACCACAACCAAGAACACAGGTACGACCACAACCAAGAACACAGGTACGACCACAGCCACGTCGACAGCCTAGCACACAGCTTCGCCCACTATCATGGGCGGGAACAAAGGCAACATATCTCTGCAGTGATGAAGACATCAGGTCACAGGTAGTGACAAAAGCCTCCTAAACAAGGTCATCAGGTCACAAGATGAAACAAAAGCCTACTAAAGAAGGTCATCAGGTCACAGGTAACAACATAAGCCTACTAAAGGTCATCAGGTCATAGGTAACATAAGCCTACTAAAGAAGGTCATCAGGTCACAGGTAACATAAGCCTACTAAAGGTCATCAGGTCACAGGTAACAACATAAGCCTACTAAATGTCATCAGGTCACAGGTAACAACATAAGCCTACTAAAGAAGGTCATCAGGTCACAGGTAACAACATAAGCCTACTAAACAAGATCAGGTCACAGGTAACAACATAAGCCTACTAAACAAGGTCATCAGGTCACAGGTAACAACATAAGCCTACTAAAGGTCATCAGGTCACAGGTAACAACATAAGCCTACTAAAGAAGGTCATCAGGTCACAGGTAACAACATAAGCCTACTAAAGGTCATCAGGTCACAGGTAACAACATAAGCTACTAAAGAAGGTCATCAGGTCACAGGTAACAACATAAGCCTAACTAAAGAAGGTCATCAGGTCACAGGTAACAACATAAGCCTACTAAAGAAGGTCATCAGGTCACAGGTAACAACATAAGCCTACTAAAGAAGGTCATCAGGTCACAGGTAACAACATAAGCCTACTAAAGGTCATCAGGTCACAGGTAACAACATAAGCCTACTAAAGGTCATCAGGTCACAGGTAACAACATAAGCCTACTAAACAAGATCAGGTCACAGGTAACAACATAAGCCTACTAAAGAAGGTCATCAGGTCACAGGTAACAACATAAGCCTACTAAAGGTCATCAGGTCACAGGTAACATAAGCCTACTAAACAAGATCAGGTCACAGGTAACAACATAAGCCTACTAAACAAGGTCATCAGGTCACAGGTAACAACAAGCCTACTAAAGGTCATCAGGTCACAGGTAACAACAAGCCTACTAAAGGTCATCAGGTCACAGGTAACAACATAAGCCTACTAAACAAGGTCATCAGGTCACAGGTAACAACAAGCCTACTAAAGGTCATCAGGTCACAGGTAACAACATAAGCCTACTAAAGGTCATCAGGTCACAGGTAACAACATAAGCCTACTAAAGGTCATCAGGTCACAGGTAACAACATAAGACTACTAAAGGTCATCAGGTCACAGGTAACAACATAAGCCTACTAAAGGTCATCAGGTCACAGGTAACAACATAAGCCTACTAAACAAGATCAGGTCACAGGTAACAACAAGCCTACTAAAGGTCATCAGGTCACAGGTAACAACATAAGCCTACTAAACAAGGTCATTAAGTGGTTGGCTGGTCAGTACTAACTGCAACAAACACCCAAAAATATTTATACTGCCTTTTTTTTTTAATTTTTATTTCCCCCACAACAAATTTCACTGACATTTTTACATCGATCACCGGTTAAACCTTTAATATGACAGATAAAACTTCCAATATATCAGCGGGTTATCACTCTCTGGTTTATTTCAACACCCGTCAAAAATTTTATGAGGGACGAGGCGAAGAAGAAAGTTTGCGCGCCAAAAATGGTGTTGTTGTGGTGTCGTCAGCTGACCGGTTTCTGGCGCCAAGTTTTGGCGCGCAAATTTCTGCCGCTAAGATTTTGCCGGGAGATTTTGGTTTCTTCCCTTATTGGATGTTTCTTTGTTTTTCTTCCCTTGTCTCTCTCTCTCTCTCTCTCTCTCTCTCTCTCCTGTTCCACTTTTATTTTGACCTCTTCCACCTGTCAGGGTATGAGTGTACACTGTGTGGTGCATTGTGGGTAATAGTGTGGTGCATTGTGGGTAATATTGTGGTGCATTGTGGGTAATAGTGTGGTGCATTGTGGGTAATAGTGTGGTGCATTGTGGGTAATAGGATGGTGCATTGTGGGTAATAGGATGGTGCATTGTGGGTAATAGTGTGGTGCATTGTGGGTAATAGTGTGGTGCATTGTGGGTAATAGGATGGTGCATTGTGGGTAATAGTGTGGTGCATTGTGGGTAATAGTGGTGCATTGTGGGTAATAGTGGTGCATTGTGGGTAATAGTGTGGTGCATTGTGGGTAATAGTGTGGTGCATTGTGGGTAATAGTGGTGCATTGTGGGTAATAGTGGTGCATTGGGGGTAATAGTGTGGTGCATTGTGGGTAATAGTGTGGTGCATTGTGGGTAATAGTGTGGTGCATTGTGGGTAATAGTGTGGTGCATTACCTGGAGTTTACCTGGAGAGAGTTTCGGGGGTCAACGCCCCCGCGGCCCGGTCTGTGACCAGGCCTCCTGGTGGATCAGCGCCTGATCAACCAGGCTGTTGCTGCTGGCTGCACGCAAACCAACGTACGAGCCACAGCCCGGCTGATCAGGAACTGCCTTTAGGTGCTTGTCCAGTGCCAGCTTGAAGACTGCCAGGGGTCTGTTGGTAATCCCCCTTATGTGTGCTGGGAGGCAGCTGAACAGTCTCGGGCCCCTGACACTTATTGTATGGTCTCTTAACGTGCTAGTGACACCCCTGCTTTTCATTGGGGGGATGGTGCATCGTCTGCCAAGTCTTTTGCTTTCGTAGTGAGTGATTTTCGTGTGCAAGTTCGGTGCATTGTGGGTAATAGTGTGGTGCATTGTGGGTAATAGTGGTGCATTGTGGGTAATAGTGTGGTGCATTGTGGGTAATAGTGTGGTGCATTGTGGGTAATAGTGGTGCATTGTGGGTAATAGTGGTGCATTGTGGGTAATAGTGTGGTGCATTGTGGGTAATAGTGTGGTGCATTGTGGGTAATAGTGTGGTGCATTGTGGGTAATAGTGTGGTGCATTGTGGGTAATAGTGTGGTGCATTGTGGGTAATAGTGGTGCATTGTGGGTAATAGTGGTGCATTGTGGGTAATAGTGGTGCATTGTGGGTAATAGTGTGGTGCATTGTGGGTAATAGTGGTGCATTGTGGGTAATAGTGGTGCATTGTGGGTAATAGTGTGGTGCATTGTGGGTAATAGTGTGGTGCATTGTGGGTAATAGTGGTGCATTGTGGGTAATACATAGGCCTCCCAGTCAGGCCTATCAAAATATTACAAAAAATAACTACTAATAATAATAAAATTAAAGACAATTTAAATATTATTAATAAATATTTAATCAGTAATATATAAATATTTCTAATTACCTATAATTAAATTATACCTGTCATTAACAAAGATAAATATTGATAATAATCCTGAGCATGTCGTAGGTGGAACAGCTACATAAATATGTCTGGAGAGTTAATATTTAACTTAAATAACATGGATTATTACCTTGGGTGACCCGCCATTACGACGCCTCAGTCATTTTACATCGCCACAACTTTATTCTAGTGATTTGTAAAATTTTCTGTTGCTATTCTTCAGCCGGGGATATTAATGAAGGTTCCAGTTACAAATACCTGCAGAAACTCACAACTGTAGCTTCGATGACGCTCGATTAATCAAATTACACAACCACAACTCAGACATTAATGGCGTCTCGACCCGCCGGTGTGATAGTTCATTTTTCACTTTCCATTTTTATTTTCAGACAAACTAGTAATACATTTTAAATGTTACATTATACAATATTTTACACGATAATAATAATCATAATGTTATTCCTAAAGTGTTGTTTTTCAGATTAATAATAAAGGTGTATTGTTATTTTTGTCAACTTTCCAAGACGAACGTGATAGGATTGTAACATGCTTTATTATTCCCAGGACGAACGTAACGAGATGTACTGATATTTTTTACTATTCCCAGAACAAACGTAATCAAAGTCCTATAATTTTTATTCCCAGGAAGAACGTGAAGGGATGCCAAAATAACTTTTTTTATTCCCAAGAAGAACATGATGGGATGGCAAAATACTGTTTACTATCCCCAGGACGAACGTGAGTAGCTGGTTCCATCTCCATTTATTATTCTCAGAACGAACGTGATAAGATGGCAGTATTATCAATTATATCTTTCTCACGAGGGACGGAAGCTTCTTCTATGCATGCAACAGCCTCCCATTGCAATCTTGCAGACGTACTTTCCATTGCAGGGCCAAATTAGTTTTTTTGGTCTGCCTGAGAGGTGAAATAGACGGTTGTTCCAAGGACCTCCTGGGAGACGAAATTAGTCGAGATTGTTAGAGATTGACGCGACTTTGTTAGACGTTGTTGTACGTTGTTGTACGTTGTTGTACGTTGTTCAATACTGTTATGCGTTGTTCAACACTGTTGTGCGTTGTTCAACACTGTTGTGCGTTGTTCAACACTGTTGTGCGTTCTTCAACACTGTTGTACGTTGTTGTACGTTGTTGTACGTTGTTCAACACTGCTGTACGTTGGTCAACACTCTTGTACGTTGTTCAACACTGTTGTACGTTCTTCAACACTGTTGTACGTTGTTCAACACTGTTGTACGTTGTTCAACACTGCTGTACGTTGTTCAACACTGTTGTACGTTGTTCAACACTGTTGTACGTTGTTCAACACTGTTGTACGTTGTTCAACACTGTTGTGCGTTGTTCAACACTGTTGTACGTTGTTCAACACTGTTGTGCGTTGTTCAACACTGTTGTACGTTGTTCAACACTGTTGTACGTTGTTCAACACTGTTGTGCGTTGTTGTACGTTGTTCAACACTGTTGTACGTTGTTCAACACTGTTGTACGTTGTTCAACACTGCTGTACGTTGTTCAACACTGTTGTACGTTGTTCAACACTGTTGTACGTTGTTCAACACTGTTGTACGTTGTTCAACACTGCTGTACGTTGTTCAACACTGTCGTACGTTGTTCAACACTGTTGTACGTTGTTCAACACTGTTGTACGTTGTTCAACACTGCTGTACGTTGTTCAACACTGCTGTACGTTGTTCAACACTGTCGTACGTTGTTCAACACTGTTGTACGTTGTTCAACACTGTTGTACGTTGTTCAACACTGCTGTACGTTGTTCAACACTGCTGTACGTTGTTCAACACTGTTGTACGTTGTTCAACACTGTTGTACGTTGTTCAACACTGTTGTACGTTGTTCAACACTGCTGTACGTTGTTCAACACTGTCGTACGTTGTTCAACACTGTTGTACATTGTTCAACACTGTTGTACGTTGTTCAACACTGCTGTACGTTGTTCAACACTACTGTACGTTGTTCAACACTGTCGTACGTTGTTCAACACTGTTGTACGTTGTTCAACACTGTTGTACGTTGTTCAACACTGCTGTACGTTGTTCAACACTGTCGTACGTTGTTCAACACTGTTGTGCGTTGTTCAACACTGTTGTACGTTGTTCAACACTGCTGTACGTTGTTCAACACTGCTGTACGTTGTTCAACACTGTCGTACGTTGTTCAACACTGTTGTACGTTGTTCAACACTGTTGTACGTTGTTCAACACTGCTGTACGTTGTTCAACACTGCTGTACGTTGTTCAACACTGTCGTACGTTGTTCAACACTGTTGTACGTTGTTCAACACTGTTGTACGTTGTTCAACACTGCTGTACGTTGTTCAACACTGCTGTACGTTGTTCAACACTGTTGTACGTTGTTCAACACTGTTGTACGTTGTTCAACACTGTTGTACGTTGTTCAACACTGCTGTACGTTGTTCAACACTGTCGTACGTTGTTCAACACTGTTGTACATTGTTCAACACTGTTGTACGTTGTTCAACACTGCTGTACGTTGTTCAACACTACTGTACGTTGTTCAACACTGTCGTACGTTGTTCAACACTGTTGTACGTTGTTCAACACTGTTGTACGTTGTTCAACACTGCTGTACGTTGTTCAACACTGTCGTACGTTGTTCAACACTGTTGTGCGTTGTTCAACACTGTTGTACGTTGTTCAACACTGCTGTACGTTGTTCAACACTGCTGTACGTTGTTCAACACTGTCGTACGTTGTTTCAACACTGTTGTACGTTGTTCAACACTGTTGTACGTTGTTCAACACTGCTGTACGTTGTTCAACACTGCTGTACGTTGTTCAACACTGTTGTACGTTGTTCAACACTGTTGTACGTTGTTCAACACTGTTGCACGTTGTTCAACACTGTTGTACGTTGTTCAACACTGTTGTACGTTGTTCAACACTGTTGTACGTTGTTCAACACTGTTGTACGTTGTTCAACACTGTTGTACGTTGTTCAACACTGTTGTACGTTGTTCAACACTGTTGTACGTTCTTCAACACTGTTGTACGTTGTTCAACACTGCTGTACGTTGTTCAACACTGTTGTACGTTGTTCAACACTGTTGTACGTTGTTCAACACTGTTGTACGTTGTTCAACACTGCTGTACGTTGTTCAACACTGTTGTACGTTGTTCAACACTGCTGTACGTTGTCCAACACTGTTGTACGTTGTTCAACACTGCTGTACGTTGTTCAACACTGTCGTACGTTGTTCAACACTGTTGTACGTTGTTCAACACTGTTGTACGTTGTTCAACACTGTTGTACGTTGTTCAACACTGCTGTACGTTGTTCAACACTGTCGTACGTTGTTCAACACTGTTGTACGTTGTTCAACACTGTTGTACGTGGTTCAACACTATTGTACGTTGTTCAACACTGTTGTACGTTGTTCAACACTGCTGTACGTTGTTCAACACTGTTGTACGTTGTTCAACACTGTTGTACGTTGTTCAACACTGTTGTACGTTGTTAAACACTGTTGTACGTTGTTCAACACTGTTGTACGTTGTTCAACACTGTTGTACGTTGTTCAACACTGTTGTACGTTGTTCAACACTGTTGTACGTTGTTCAACACTGTTGTACGTTGTTCAACACTGTTATACGTTGTTCAACACTGTTGTACGTTGTTCAACATTGCTGTACGTTGTTCAACACTGTCGTACGTTGTTCAACACTGCTGTACGTTGTTCAACACTGTTGTACGTTGTTCAACACTGTTGTACGTTGTTCAACACTGCTGTACGTTGTTCAACACTGTCGTACGTTGTTCAACACTGTTGTACGTTGTTCAACACTGTTGTACGTTGTTCAACACTGCTGTACGTTGTTCAACACTGTCGTACGTTGTTCAACACTGTTGTACGTTGTTCAACACTGTTGTACGTTGTTCAACACTGTTGTACGTTGTTCAACACTGTTGTACGTTGTTCAACACTGCTGTACGTTGTTCAACACTGTTGTACGTTGTTCAACACTGTTGTACGTTGTTCAACACTGTTGTACGTTGTTCAACACTGTTGTACGTTGTTCAACACTGTTGTACGTTGTTCAACACTGTTGTACGTTGTTCAACACTGTTGTACGTTGTTCAACACTGTTGTACGTTGTTCAACACTGTTGTACGTTGTTCAACACTGTTGTACGTTGTTCAACACTGTTGTACGTTGTTCAACACTGTTGTACGTTCTTCAACACTGTTGTACGTTGTTCAACACTGCTGTACGTTGTTCAACACTGTTGTACGTTGTTCAACACTGTTGTACGTTGTTCAACACTGTTGTACGTTGTTCAACACTGTTGTACGTTGTTCAACACTGTTGTACGTTGTTCAACACTGTTGTACGTTGTTCAACACTGTTGTACGTTGTTCAACACTGTTGTACGTTGTTCAACACTGTTGTACGTTGTTCAACACTGTTGTACGTTGTTCAACACTGTTGTACGTTGTTCAACACTGTTGTACGTTGTTCAACACTGTTGTACGTTCTTCAACACTGTTGTACGTTGTTCAACACTGTTGTACGTTCTTCAACACTGTTGTACGTTCTTCAACACTGTTGTACGTTCTTCAACACTGTTGTACGTTGTTCAACACTGCTGTACGTTGTTCAACACTCTTGTACGTTGTTCAACACTGTTGTACGTTGTTCAACACTGTTGTACGTTGTTCAACACTGCTGTACGTTGTTCAACACTGTTGTACGTTGTTCAACACTGTCGTACGTTGTTCAACACTGTTGTACGTTGTTCAACACTGTTGTACGTTGTTCAACACTGCTGTACGTTGTTCAACACTGCTGTACGTTGTTCAACACTGTCGTACGTTGTTCAACACTGTTGTACGTTGTTCAACACTGTTGTACGTTGTTCAACACTATTGTACGTTGTTCAACACTGTTGTACGTTGTTCAACACTGCTGTACGTTGTTCAACACTGTTGTACGTTGTTCAACACTGTTGTACGTTGTTCAACACTGTTGTACGTTGTTAAACACTGTTGTACGTTGTTCAACACTGTTGTACGTTGTTCAACACTGTTGTACGTTGTTAAAACACTGTTGTACGTTGTTCAACACTGTTGTACGTTGTTCAACACTGTTATACGTTGTTCAACACTGTTGTACGTTGTTCAACATTGCTGTACGTTGTTCAACACTGTCGTACGTTGTTCAACACTGCTGTACGTTGTTCAACACTGTTGTACGTTGTTCAACACTGTTGTACGTTGTTCAACACTGCTGTACGTTGTTCAACACTGTCGTACGTTGCTCAACACTGTTGTACGTTGTTCAA